GGTCACTATCCGACAGGTGAGTGGCCAACTCTGCAGTTCGATTCAAGTGCATTTGGAAATGGTGTATGCTCCGCGTGGGCACCGTCAAATCTGCAAGTTTACGGCCACATTCATACTGTAAGGTACGAAGGTAGATGCTTTCAAGGGCAAGCAGAGGTACAGACAATTTTGGCGGACGCATCGAGCACAATCGGAGGTACATTTATACTGGCATACATGGGCAACGTTACATCCCCACTGTCGTTTGAGGAGTCGGGGGCAGCTGAGATGCGAGATGCAATCGATTCAATTACCACACCCGGCACCGTAAACGTCAGTGTAAGCACGTACGGTGTCTACGGCAAGGCGTGGCACGTTACATTTGCGGCAAATCAAGACCAGGATCAAGACACTATGTTCATCCAACACTCGCGTCTGACAGGTCAAAGTGTATCAATTGGCATCTATTCCAGAATTACGGTATTTACAGCAGCTAAGGAGAATGATATCAGTGGCTCCTTTCGAATAACGATTAGCGGCGAGACCACCGAACCTATTGGGTACGCTGCTACGCACATGAAAGTCACACAAGAGCTACAAAAACTTTCCGTCGTGGATTCTGTGATGGCGCTTGGAGACAAAACGTCCGGTGATGTTGGTGTTTACTCTTTAGAGTTTACCGCCGATGCGACTGCTAGTAGTAGTATTTTGACTAATGTGAAGCTGGGTGGATCGCTGTTTGACCCGACCAAGTTCTTAGCGATTGGTGAAACAGTTATTATTGGCTCAACACCTTCTTCGTACACTATCAAGTCAATAACCATGTTTGATATCACACTAAATAAAATCTTTCCAGCTTCAGCGACGTCTCAAAACTATGTCATTTTTGCTGGATCAATTACAAAACAAACTGGACCTTTGCCTGGATATGTTGCGATTTCGTCTTTGATGCAAATTGTAGCAGTAGAGAAGGGAAGTAACGTGTTTGAGCTACCAACTGACCACTGCTTGGTTATCAATAGTGTATTTTATATCGGTAACACTAAATTTACGGCAACTAGTATATCTGGAACAAGAGTTACGACTGACGTTTTGTATGTGGGCGACAGTATCTTCGCAAGCCATCCGAAATTGTACGCCTTTGATAATACACTCCACACCACCGAAGACTTAAGACAACTAGTCAGCATTGGTAACGATTTGTGGCTTCCGTCCGTGTCCTCTGATATGAACAAGTACACAGTCATTGCAGTCAATGCCAATTATTTACAAGTGACCGGTATATTTACAGAAAGCATAGCAAGGACTCGGGTATATCATGTTACTAGTGGCCGAAAGTGGAATCTTGCCTTTCGTTCTTACGCTGGAAGTCTGGATACTTTTGACGCCATTCCAGAACATGATTGGCGAGGATCTGATGCTCGAATTGGAGTGAGGAACTCGAAAGCAATTCGTCCGAATATCATTGGCCTCGGAAATCCAGCATCGACACAAACAATTCATTTAGAGGTTCAGGACGTTGCGATAGCGACAACTTATACGCTTAACTTTGCAGGTAAAACTGTATTGATGACGGGCACGACAAACCCCAAGAATATACCGTGGGCTACTTTGAACGATGATTTAGAAAACGCACTCACGACGCTCGATAACGTGGACGGCGTTAGCGTCATTTCCACAGTAACGGGAGGTACTGTCGTCCATGCCATATCGTTCTGGGGGACTTACACAATGAAAAAGCTGCCGCTTCTTGTGGTAACACCTGCTTCGGTCAATTTAAACGCGTATGTTCAGGGGAATGATGCAGTTGCAGTGACTAAACACGACAATTTGATACTTAAAGGTAGTCAAGACTTTGCGTTTCGTATCTTTGCACGTAATTCAAAAGGTATCAGCAATTCGGTGTTAGTATTGGAAGCTCAAATACCGACAAGTTCCCTTATTCCTAGTCCTCCTACAGGCGTAGCACTCGGTTCATTCCATGGGTCAACGTGGTTATCGCTAAACTACCGGGCTCCTTTATATTCAGGAGGAGCGAGGGTGACCATGTACAGAATCGAATGGGATTCGTCTTCGAACTTTGATATTTCAAGTAGAGATTATGGCGTGGTAAGTATTCAGGAAACATCAGAAGTCCAGCAGGTGACAACGACTTACCGTACGGCAACGGGTGCTGGTGGCACCTTTACGCTTGCTTGGGGTGGCCGTAAGACGGCTGCGTTACCGTTTGATTGCTCAATAAGTGATATGGCGGATGCTCTTGCAATCATCACGAATACAGGTAATGTCGCTATAGAACCTGTGCTTGTCACCAGAGCAGACGTGGCATGGGGATACGTTTGGAAGATCACATTTTTACATAGCCGAGGCGACTTGGCCTTACTGGTTGCCGATGGAACGCAATTGACAGGCGATTCTCCTCGGATCTGTGTCGACGAAATCGTCAAAGGTTTCAGTGATCTCGCAATCGGCGACTTTACCCATGAAGTCCAGGAAGTCGTTTCTGATTCTGTATCCCCCATTGACGGTTCGTTTACGCTGACATTTGATGGAAAAGAAACGGTGCCGATCTTTATCAGTGCGTCAGCATTAGAGATGCAAATAGCATTGCAGCTAACCACTACATCGTACTCAATTAAAGTGTCGAAAGCAGTACGAAACGTGGCACTGAATACTGCGATTTGGACCGTCACGTTTGCCTATCTTCGTAGCGGGGAGATAGTGGGAGCTGGTAATGCTTTCAAGATGACGGTGACAAATTTGCAAGTAACAGGGACCAAAGCACTAGTATATGTTGCGAACAAAATTACGGGATCCGACCCGTTTCGCTTTACAATTACAAACCTTCGACCAGGAATCGAGTACTTTGCCCAAGTTATGGCGTACAACGCAGATGGCTTTGGCTCAGCAAATTCACCACTAGCCAAGGCCGTAACGTGCACTCAACCTTCAGCTCCTCAATCCGTTACAGCTACAGTAGTCGACGGAACAAGGCTACAAGTTGACTGGACCGCAAGTACCACTAGCGGAAAGCTCTGTAGTATAGACAGGTACAAGGTGGAATGGTACCGTGCTGAAGGAGTACAGGAACAGCAAACTATTACAACATCGGCGAGTAAAGGGGTTCCCGAGATACAGCGATTGGTCAGCTCTCAATCTGTAAGTGGGTATTTCAAACTGTCTTATAAAGGAGAAATCACAGAAAATATTCGATGGAATGCCGAAGCCAGTGGCTTAAACTCAGTGAAAGAACGTCTCGAACGACTGTCTACCATCGGTACGGTAGCTGTATCAAAAACTGACTCGACACGCGTTGTGGGTGGGTTGCTTGTGACTGCGACAGCTACAACTGTCACAGTTCATACGACGTCTATATCTACGCTAGGCGCTTCACTATTAGCCCAGGGCGACGTAATTTGGATTGCAGGGAATAAACGAACAATTACCGCTGCTGTTGGACCTACAGACACAACTTTTTCAATCGATACAGCTCTGGAAGTGACTATTCCCGTGCCGGTATTCAAAAAAGCGTTTGGATATGAGTGGAAAATTACTTTTCTCGCAGGCCACGTAGGTCCGCAAGAGCTAATTGAGGTATTTCCAAGTGACAGCTGGACAGGAAACAATCCTGACATCATTGTTGACTTGGTACAAAAGGGTCTTCAACCAATAAGCGGGACGTTTAAAGTTGCCTTTGGTAATGGCGAATTGTCGGATAGTACCCCACCATTGCCGCACGATGTCTCTGCTACTGACTTACAAAATGCACTGGAAAATCTGGTCACGATTGGTGCCGTTAATGTAACTAGATCCGCAAATGGATACGGATACAATTGGGTAGTCACATTCTTATCGGAAATGAAAAGTGACTTGACATTATTAAGCGTTGACGGAACTCTACTTCAAGGTCCTGGGGCAAAGATATTAGTAGCTCGCACTCGAATTGGTGTTCAACCTTTATGGTATTGCGAGCGAAACGGAGGTACTGGAACATTTGTCGAAGTTGGAGTGCCAGGACAGCTACGCTATCTGATCACTGGCCTAACTACCGGTGAGAAGTATTCCATATTTGTACGAGCTCACAACATTGAAGGATACGGCTATGCAGGTCGCATTGCTTCAGCCTTTCAGATCCCGCGAACGATTCCTTCTGCTCCTCAAGCTGTAGAATTGCTGACTCTCTCAAGTCGACTTCTGAAAGTACGATGGAATGCTCCTAAGAGCAATGGTGGAGCCGCTATAAGCATGTATCAAGTCCAATGGGACACATCAGAAAACTTTACGAATCCAATGAAGGCAGACGTGCTTGTCGCACCAATAGATATCGAGCCATTCTACTACAATATCCCAATACTGTCTGTAAAAAAGTATTTTACTCGAGTATTTGCAATCAACACTCAAGGTGATGGAGCATTTGGTGTGCCACGTCCAAGTGGTGTCATACCCGCAGATCGTACACCTGGAAGAGTAGAAGGTGCAATTGCAACGATCTTGTCAGGTCATGCCATATTAGTGGAGTGGAAGCCGTCTTCAACCGAAAGAGATTATTTTGGAGGTGATGGTGGTCTTGTGATTACTCAGTACATGATCGAATGGGACCCTTCACCAGGCTTTGACTCGCCTGCAACGTTTGGCCTGGTGGATGGAACAAAGCGCTCATATATTATTGGTGGAGATGACGCTTTTACTGGTATACGATCTAGTAAACTCACCGCTAATTCTACGTACAATATTCGAGTCACTGCATTCAATGCTAAAGGTGCTGGTGCTTCGAGACGCACGATCCCGTCAAATGTTACTGTCACCGATCAACCGCCCTCGCCGCCGCAAAATCTAACGCTTTCTGTAACGTCTGCAACATCAGTGCAAGCAGATTGGATGACCCCGCTATATGACGGTGGAGAGACTCTCAAGTCCTACCAAGTTGATTGGGATGATCAAAATGATTTTTCAAGTGGAGAAAGCAGGAGTGTAACAATCCCAATTATTCGTGAAATGCAGACAATGAGACTACAGAACGACGTCGTAAATGAGGAACAATTTGTCGATGTTACCGTTAAGGTGACAAACGAAGAGCAAGTGGTACGTACAACATTTTCAGGAGTGGATGAAGTCCAAATGATTACTACGACTAACGATGTAGTAGTCGACGAAGTTCAGACAGTAGTCACCTCAGCCACCGATCGTAACGAGGTTCAGGAATTGCGCTTAGATGGCGATGATGTAGATGAGATTCAAGCAATTCGAACATCCGTGTCTGAAATCCTCGAGGTACAAACGTTACAAGTTGGTGTGCCACGCACAAGCGAAGTCCAAGCAATCACATTAACACTGCCAGGGGCGTTCGCCACTCCCGCTACGAGCATTGGGGGGACAATTTACTTTTCTTTTGACAGCAGCGTTTGTACCCACTGCGTAAAGAAAATGTACCAGCGCACAATTAATCTCGTCTCATCGCTTCAGGATACAACAGCCTCAAGCGCAGCATTGACCGTAAAGAATGCACTGAGTGACCTCGCTAATATTGATACCGTCGACGTCACGAGAACACAAAATGCAGCCGGACCAGACCTTACGTACGTTTACACAATAACTTTTTCTGGTCTTGAAGTGGGTGGCAACGTTCCTCCGCTTGCTGTTGACGCGGCGATCACAGTCGGAGGAAACGCAGTGTCTGGCTTACCAACACAAGGTACTGAAGTGTCAGCTGGTAGTGAAGTAAGCTACGCGTCCAATGCCATTTTTACAGTCACATATACGTGCGAATCGTATTCAGACCCGTACGCCATTACGACGTTCAGTAATGCGTGTACTCCAAGCATTTCTGCTCGTATTTGTGCTGGATGTGTGACATCGTTTGCTGGCGGTATCTTTACAGTGTCACAAGATTTAAGATTAAATACTTATGTCGTGACCGGTGCAAAGCTTTTAGCAGGCGTATGCTCTTTTGAAGCAGGAACGGTAGTGAAAACCTCTACGTCGACGACCATAACAGTTGCTGTGAATGACGTCGGGTTATATTGTAGCGAGTTTTCTGCCAAAACTATGGATTTGTATAAAACCCCGCAGATTTCTCGCGACATTCCGTTAAAGACAGCTGCGACAACTATTTCCAGTGCCAGTATCGTAGAAGGTCTCCTAGTGGGTGCAATTGACTCTCTTATCGTTGCTCGTGCCGAATTTGTCGACACTAGTTTTGTTGGATCAGTGTATACCATAACGATTCGCAAACGCTCCGGCACAATTCCACTTTTATTGTGTTCGGCCGCAGGAAGTGTTACATGTTCAGTTGCACGCACGGTTACCGGTAGTATGATAACGGGCTCGTTTCAGATCGGGTTGATCAGTGAGGCTGATGCAAGCCAAACTCTATCCGTTCCAACCCCGTTGTATAGTGGAAATGTTCTTTGGGATGTTTCCGAAACCGAACTGAAAAATCTGTTGGAATCTGTCACTCAGGGCTCAAAACAAGTTTTTGGAAGTGTGACCGTAAAGAGAACAGTTTTTGCTCCTACAGGAAACAAATGGTCGGGTGGATTTACTTGGCATGTTACTTTTACAAGCCGGGGAGGGGACATCCCAATAATGGTAACGAGGACAGTCGTTTCTGGTACTACGACACTATCGACACCAACGAATGGAGTACCGACTGCAGATGTTGAAGACGCAACACATCCACTTAATCCATTCGCTTATAGTCGCGACGGCAATCAAGTGATGGGGACAATCACATTCAAATTTCGGGAGGTAACATCGCCCCTTGCATGTACGATTGGCGTAGACACTTCATTAGCGACGCTTGATAGTAGCGTGCGAGACACTATATTAGAGACATTTATCCAGTCAAATCTTCTCATTCCAAGCATCGAAATTATACGATCTGCAGTAACTCAAGCGAGGGGATTTATATGGACAATTACGTTTTCACACTTTTCAACAGGAGGTGACGTTGGATTACTCGAGATTGTATCGTCACAATTAACCGGAAAGAGTATTCGATTGGGAGTTTACGAGACTGTGAAAGGGAATCAATTAAGTGGCACATATCAGCTCAGTTTCAACGGAGAGACAACGGCTCCTCTCGCCTTTAACGCTGAAGACTCGGAGGTGCAAACGGAGCTAAACAAACTTGGAACGATCAAACCGAGCAGTGTGCTCGTGTCTCGAGGAGCTCCCACGTCGAGTCAAGTGCTAGGATTTACGTGGTATATCACATTTCATTCCTCTGTTTGGGCTGATCCGACCAGTGATCATGCCGATGGAATAGATGGAAACTGGAAGAGCTCATCACCAGCATTGTGGAACGATGTATGGGAATCAGGCTACTCAAAAGCTTGGGGACGGCATGTCGGTCATACTTTTCCATTGAACTGCATTGCCGATAGTCTTACAACAACGGCCAATGATGGAAGTCAAAGCTGTGTATCAAGTGTATCAACCACGGGTATCGGACCCATTCGTGGCACTTTTAGTGTTTCGCTCGACACACGAGCGCTGACATTTGCTCATATGGCAATTAATTCGCTGGTGAACAGTGAGGGCATTGTACACAATGCGTACGCTACCAAGGAAGAAAGCAAAAATACCGGGACTTCAGTCGAAGAAGTTCTAGAACGAATGGCAAATGTAGGCGATGTCGATGTCTCAAGAGGGGATGTAAACAGACGAACGGGTGGCTATTCGTGGACAGTTACATTCCTTCGCGACGCCAGTGATGCACTTCATCCATGTGAGCAGCTAGATGAACGGGCTGGCTCTTTGCTGTGCAATGCACCAGGCAATGTCCCTTTACTTACTGGTATAAGCGCGGCTCTGACTGGATCCAATTCACTTGTCACTGTCGCATCCGTGAATGATGGGTCACATTTGCGTGGAGATTTTACCAACTTCTGCGTCGAGGGAGATGCGGGTGTAGCTGCGAGATACCTTGTCAGTGTCGTCTGTACAAACGCACCAGGTGCTGTCGCACCAGCCGCAACATCGTGCTCAGTATCATCGCTCACAATTAAGTCTGCGGGAGATCAACTTGTCAAGCACTTGATGCCTCAAGATCGAATCGTTGTTGGCACCTTTACAAATTGCGTTTTTCACGTCACTGCAGTATCCACCGTGACAATCAGCGTCACGACTGAATTATGTAGTGACATGGATACTAGCAACACAGGAGTATCAATTTGGTTAGGCCTTTCAATTTTATTACCGTGGAATGCAGATGAAAATCTTGTCAAGCGGCAGTTGGAGGCTGCGGCGACCCGGTCTGGACGTCAGGTGAGTGTACGTCGAACAGTACACGGTAAGTATGGTGAGATGTCTTGGCTCATACGCTTTATTTCTAATCCGACGTTTACACCACCTGGAGCTGGCAATTTACCTGATATAACAACGGCGTTTGCTGCCGAAATCGGTTCGAGTAACTATGATGTGACTGTGACTCAAGTAATACCAGGATCTGCAGGGTTGAGCGGCTCTTTTCTACTTGATTTTCACTCTTCGTCCTTTGGTCCCCGAGAAGTTGCCTTTGATGAAGACCCAGAACGTTTACAGCTGAAACTAAATGAAATGGACTCAATCGGTCGAGTAGCAGTCAAGCGCTTGAAGTTACCGTCTCCGGCAACTGGTTGTACAGTTGCATCCTGTTCCGGTGGGTGGGATGATATATATGTACAGAAGCCAGGGACACGAGGTGGGTATCGTTGGATTATACGCTTCATACAGGTAACGGGAGATTATCGAGGACACTCATTCCCCCCTGGTAGCGGTGACGTAGCTTCTTTGTCTGTATCCCGCTCATCCCTGCAAGGTACTGATGTGTCAGTCGAAGTGTTCACGAACGTCTTAGGTTCATTGCCTGTCAAGGGGACTTTTCGTATCGTACAGGCTGACCGAGAAACCTCGGCACTTGCTTATTCGTCTCCCTCAGAAGCAATTAAGGCTGGCATTGAAGGGATGGGCATGTATGGACAGGTTGACGTTACACAGACGTACTTACTTACCCAAAAGATTCCTGGTGCGACTGCAATCGTGGCTCAAGACGGTGTGAAGGCTACGATTGTTGGAATTGAAGACATCAGGCAATTTGTTGCGCCCACTGACATCATTCGCTTTGGATCTGAATCGGCGAATAATTTACCGGGAACGAATGGGGATGCACCATTTACCGGCGTTATTGATACCTCACGCGTGCGCGTGACGGCTCGATCTCCGATCGTTGCCACTTCCGAAGCCGTAGTCAAAAGAATGCTCTTTCCTGGAATGAAGTTACGTATTGACGGATTAGAATATACGGTCCAGCGAACTGGATATGAAGTTCAGAGTATCACAGTAACCAAGCCATCAGGCACATGGTCAACCGCGTACGTTGCAAACACTTTTCAGCTGGAATTGACTCGAAACGGCGTCACCAAGCCCCCAACAAGTTGCCTTCGATTTAATGAAGACGCAGCGACAGTACAAGCGGCCATATTTGGTCTTTTGTTTGCATTCGATACCTCTGCTACAGCGGATGATGTCTTAGTGTCGCGCGTAGGTCCTGTCACTATTGGTACAGCTGGAAGTACGCGCATTGGGTACGTATATTCAGTGTACTTTGTTGGAGAATCTGTAGCTGGAGACGTGGCCGCATTAAAGCCTAGGACTTGCGGAGGTATTGGTGATGCTACCGTCACAGTCGACGTTGTTACACATGGAGGTCAAGTCCCCCATCAACGCTTGATGTTGGCGACTGATCACGGTCAAGTCAGAGATACAAAAGGGTTCTTCCAGTTGATGTTAAACTCACAGACCTCAAGTTGTTTGAAGTGGGGAGCTCCGGCTAGAGACATAGAACAAGCACTTGAAAATGCTCCACTGTCTGCTGGAAATGTGATAGTGACTAGAAGTGGCAATGGGACGTCTATTACCGAAATACAACGCATTCGAATGACTGCAAATGCAGTTGTGACATCCACCCATGGTCTGTTCAGAGTGCAGCTAACTTTGAATGATAAAACGTCCATTACGTCTTGTTTGAATTACGGTGTTTCTGCTCAAAATCTCGAGACCGCTTTAAACGGCTTAACGAACGTAGGAGCGCTAGCTGACATGAATCACATCAACGTTACTCGTTACGGTGATGGCAGGGCAGACTGGGGCTATGGCTACGAGTATGTCATTCATTTCCAAGGACCAATCGGCGGAGGGACAAGCCGGGTTCTTGGAAACGTTCACCAGCTTGTAATTGGTAGTGTTGCTACTGGAGCATGCATCAGTGGAGCTCAGGACGGCGTCTATCCAGCTTTACTTGCTGAAACAATCCGACAAGGTGCATCAGGATTCACGTACGACATATTCTTTTTGGATCACAAAACTCGCCCTGTCGTGAACTTGATGTCGTTTAAAAGTAGCGATAATGGGGATAATGTTTGTGGTGACGGTTGGATGCACGATGGCGGGAGTGTTCGGCAAGTGTCTTTGGAGATGAAAGAGCTTGGAGGGAGCAGTGAAATTCAGCTTCTGACTATCAAAGACCGAACTGCCACCGGGGCTTACGTCATTAGGTTTGGCGGCCAATCATCGTCTTGCCTTTTATTCACAGCGCCAGCAAGTGACGTATCTGATGCGATCAAAACTCTTACGTCCAGTGCTGTTGGAGACATCCTCGTTACTCTAAACTCTGACGAATTGATTTCTCCAAATCGCGTAAATTACCGGATTACTTTTGTTGGGGAGCTTGTCACAGGGAATATTCCTTTATTGGGTATCATTCAAAGCAGCGATACAGCGTGCGCTAACACAGTGTCAACATCAAATGTAGTTGTGGAAAATCTACTGGATGGAGGAATTGTCTCGAACGAATTTGCACTTACAGGTCCGTATGATGGAGAAAACTTTAATTCGCTACATGTGGCCTACAGTGTATCTCAACACTTTAGTGTGATGGATGATCAATATGAGATCCAGCAAATGGTTGTCTCGAATCCAAGTAATGATTTTGTGACCGGAGAAACGTATAATTTGAGAGTATTTGGAATCAACACAAATTCCATTTCGTGGGATGCGAGTGAATCGAATCTTCAATCAGAACTTGTTGTTGCTGTACAGACAGCAATTAGTCCAACTGTGGTGGGTACGAATGATATTATTGTTACAAGAAGAATCGACGCAAACTTAGCTCCTCATGGCTTTGTGTATACCATTTACTTCAGTGGTACGTCTGTCAATGGAAACGTGGCAGAGATCTCAGTGGTTGCGGTGACGGGTGCGCACATTGTTCAGTCAAGCATTATTGTATCCACTATACGCCAAGGGGTTGTTGGAAAGACGCTATCAGCTAATATGATTCCGCTTGCTTTACCTGAGGATCCTACTGCTGTTTCCCGATATTTATCGAGTGCTGTGGAGCGTGCACTTGATGTATACAAAGTGAATGGATTTTTTTGGACAATCAAATTTAAATCATCGTTGGGAAATATATCCAAGCTAGACAGGCAAACATATGCGCTATCAGGAGGGACGTTGACTATTCAGGACGATTTCGTTCCGGGATCTGCCTCAAATGCATATGTGATCTCGAATCTGCTACCAGGAATCCCCTACTTTGCCCGTGTGGCAGCGTGGACGGATGTAGGCCTCGGCGTATTCACCCCAACAGTTTCTATCATACCAAGCAGCAGACCTTCAGCAGTTCAAAGCGTAGCATCCGGATACGCTCTTCATAGGCAAGAGGTTCAGGAGATACGTGTGGCAGCATCTCACGTGATGGAAGTTCAAGAGATTGAGACTTCAGCAGCGCGTATAGCAGAAGTTCAAACGCTGCGAACATTTGTCCCACCTGCATCATGTCCAGAAGGCAGCTGCATTCAAGGAAGGATAGCATTTCGCATTCCAACCGTGCAAACAGTGACAATTTGGTCAACTGCAGCAATCGTATCTGGAACGTTCACCCTGCTCTTCCAAAGAGAAGTACAGAATGGAATATCTGGTACGTTTACGACGATAGGATCCAAGACAAGCGCGATCTCGTGGAATGCGAATTCAGATGCCGTTCAAACAGCACTCACTTCTGTAGTAAACGGAGCACTTGGAGCGGACGATATCGTCGTGACTCGAGATGGCGACGCTTCTGGAAATTCTAAGTTTGGTTTTGTGTTCCAAATCACATTTGTTGGCAATAATGTTGCCGGTGAGACGAAGCAAATTATATGTGATGACACAACGTTTGTGGCTACTGGCAGCGTGGCTGTGTATTGTGATGTAGCAATGAATACTGACATCGCTACAGGAACCGATACTGCAATACAACAAGTGCTTATATCAGCAAAAAGACCCTTGGCGGTCGGGTCTTACAAACTGCATTTTGATTATTTAGGTATGGACAAAGTCTCGGCTTGTATCCCGTTCGACGCGTCTGCTGAAGTGCTTGAAACAATTCTTGAAAGCATGCCAAATATTGATAATGTGATCGTAACTCGAGAGATTGATCTCGATAAAGCACCGAATGGTTTCGTTTACACAATCATTTTCCACGGAAACGGTGTATATGGTAACACACCTTTGATGGTATGGCTTCTTACGGATACTGGGTGTACCGCCTTTCAAACGTTGAATGAGAACGTTTTAACGACTGTGGGTGTCGATGGAAAAGTTGAAGTTGCCATGCTCGATTTTGGTGGTTTCGATGCAGCAAATACATTTGTTGACGCGGCTGCTGGCACAGCCGCGCAACTTGCAATCGATCTAAATAGATTGCCGATGTTCGAATCGGTTTTGGTGACTCAATCAATAGCTGATGAGCAGGGTGGATACATATGGACAGTGGTCTTTGATGATTCGCGAGGAAACCTACCGCAATTTATTTGTGCCGTCGATTCAAACACATTTACCGCCACAGATTCTGGCTGCGAGACTGACACTTTGACGAATGGTAACGTTCTCAGTGGTACTTTTCTTCTTGAAACGTCTTCACCGATTCAGTTCAATACTGATGCGAACACGTTAAAATCTGTACTCGAAGCGGTGCCGCGAATTGGAAGAGTACAAGTCACACAATCGGCTCCATCGCCTCAGTTTGGGTACATATGGACAATCACATTTCTTGAAAATACTGGTGACGTACCTATGCTGCGAGTCACAAATCTATTAGTAGGCACAGGTAATCAGATTTTGGTTCGAGAAGTTCGAAAAGGTAATACACTAGGCGGAACCTTTACCCTTACGTATATCAACACAGAGACAGCTCCGATAAGCTGGAATGCTGCTGCAATGGCGACTTTAACGCTCGATGGCACATCTCTGCAAGAAAAACTGGAAGCATTGGATGCTGTTGGTCGAGTAAATGTAGTTCGAACGGGGCCAGACGAAGAAGGAGGGTACTCATGGTCAGTGACATTCTTGGACGATCTCCTCAATCCCGGTGATTTGGACCTTCTTAAAGGTGATTCGAGAGCATTAATAGGCGAAGGTGCTCTAGTATATATTCAAGAGATCATTAAAGGCTCAAACGCCGTAGGGGACCAGTTGTGGCTCTCGTTTGACCCACCATTGATTGATGGTGGTAGCCCCATCACCAAGTACCAAGTGCGGTGGGATACTTCCGGACAATTTACTTCCAGTCCGGCCGATGTTTTCCTCTCGGACGTTGATAAAATGTATCATATACAGCGAATCGCTGCAAGTGCTCCTACTTTTGCGTGGTCAAATCAGATGCTTCGAAGTGCAGTTCAGGAAGTGCAGAAAATCACCATCCTTACGGTGGGAACCTTTACGTTGTCGTTTCGTGGCTTAACCTCCGGAACGCTTACGACTGTCGCAGCTGGCGCTAGTGGAGCTACAACTATTGCTAATCTCAAGTCGATGCTGGAGGCTCTTGCCTGCGTTGGAACTGTCGTCGTATCCTCAATTAAAAGTACGTTGGAAGTGGGGGCTGAAATCTTGATTACATTTACAGCGCAACCTGGTGATCTTCCGTTATTAAAATCGACTCCCAATACCATAGCATCAGTGGTGGAAACGCAGATCGGGTCGACCAACTATCGCAAAGAAGTGGTCGTTTTCTCGTGTACGGCAAGCGTGGGAACAGTGCGCTTCGGGTACAATGGACGGAATGCAGACGTAAGAATTGATGCGGCATTGGGTGACGTAAAAACGAGCTTGTTGTCTCTGTTTGATGTTGAGGCAGAAAGTATCACGGTGTCAAGTGTAGCGCAGACTATTTTGTGCAAGTCTACAACACCAAGTGATATCAAGATAGTGTTTGATCGAGTGTATACTGAGATAGCCCTGACCATTTCTCAAGGTATCGACACTGGAGCTGATGCTGTGATTGTGGTGAATACGGATGCCTCAATTGATGGTGTCTACAAGCACGATCCCACACTCAGCATGAGCGGAACCTTTCAGATCGGGTACCACGGAACGTTCACTCGACCGCTTAATGTCGAGTCGAGCGCAAATCAGGTGCGTTTCGCTCTGGAGAGTCTTGAAACTATTGAGACTGTTGGTGTTACGCGCGAGTTATCGCATAAACCATTACCTGGTAAAGTTGACGTGATACATGGCGAAACCTTTGTCGTTTGCAGTGCTGGTGAAACGTGTCAGTTCTATTCAGCTTCGTATGGACTCCCAGGGTATACAATTCGTATTGGTGGTGATTGGTATACTGTCCGTACAGACTTAGATTCACCAGGACTGCACAAGACGCGGCTGTATTTGGGTGACCAGAATGGTCGAGAGGTTGGGTATTATGGATCAACTGATACTGCTGTCACCGTATACGAGTGGACGAAGGGATACGTGTGGACTGTTGTCATGCTCAGAGTTACGTCTCCTCTCACCTCTTTGCAGTCAAAAATTCCGCGGTTGTTTCCTCAAGATGCTCTCGTGCAAATAATTGGAAGTGGATGCGATAAATGCTATTATCTTCCGACCCAAACGAGCAAGAAACTCACCATGGGTCAGCGTTATTATATTGATGTAACAGCGTACAATGCTAATGGCAAAGGAGTCTCCCTTACCAGCCCGATTACGGCAATACCAAGTCAAGTTCCTGCGCCACCGTCGAACATTTACCTTGCTGTCGTTTCGGGGCATGAACTCGAGATCATCTTCTCTCCTCCGCCATTAGAAACATTGAATGTGAGCCCGAACTTTAACAATGATATCTCATCATACATTGTCCAATGGGATGTGACGACATCTTTCAAACATGGCCGGAAGATTTGTGCGAGCTGTGCAACGCAACTCAATGGAGATGTCTTATCAGTCTCAATTCCTCTCACAAATTTGCTCACACAAACTTCGAAATTTACGTTCGGAGATGATTCGTGCGTGCTGACGGTAGACGTCGTGGGTCTTTCTTCTATCAACGTCGAGACTGGACACGGGTGTGCAAACTTTAACGGACAAATGTACTCACTGTTTTACTACACGTTCCCACCAAAGGTTTTGTCAGGTTTGACGATCCAAGGCTCACCACCATTTCGGACCGTCATATCGGGTCTAACATCAGGTAGAACCTACTACGTGAGATTGGCGGCAGTCAATTCTGTGCCTGTAGAAAAAATTGCGTCAAGTGGTGAGCCGTCTGATAACCGACGATGGAGTTACGCATTGTCTGCCACTGCCGTGGACTGGGTCCCGGACCCACCACTATCAGTGTACTTGAACCTATTTTCATCCACAACGTTAGAGTTGCAAATTCAACCATCGACTCGCGATGGTAAGGGAGCAGGTGGGACTGCAATTATTGGATTTTGGATCGACGTAGATACTGTCTCTACATTTGACTCTATCGGTAAGCGATCTCCAATTGAGGTGCTTATTAGCAGTGGCTCCATTCCGGAGCTTTACACGGGAGGTCCACGAATTTATCTCGTCACGGGACTTACAACGGGCACACGGTACTATGCACAAGTAAAAACACTCAACTCGATCGGTAGCAGTCGTGCCACAACTTCTCCACGTCCCCAAACGCCTACACAGCATCCAAGTAGTCCATCTAATGTCAAAGCAAGGACACTTACAGCCTCGTCGACTCCAATTACCACCGCAACTTTAACCTGGCAGAAGCCAACAGACAGCGGTGGCCTACTTTTGACTAGCTACAGGGTTGAATGGTGGCGGTCCATATCTCGCCCAGAAATTCAAACGATTGAATTGAAGTGGACGACGCAGCCAACCGCTGCCTACTTTACGCTATCGTTTGGTGGCTTAACGACCGCATCATTACCTATGGACATTTCTGCGGCCAATCTTCGCTTTGTTCTTATGAGTCTAGCCTCAGTTACAAGCATTCCGATTGGTCACATTGATGTCTCTCGTATACCTGTCAACATCGTTCAAGGCTACCAATGGATTGTGACTTTCAATAATGCTATCAAAAACGCCGGAGATCAGCCTCTTCTTCAGTATAGCCAGGGTTTGATCACAGGAGGCTCAGGCGTCAGTGGGCGGGTATTTGAGATGCAGTCTGGAATAACGGCACCAGTTCCCAGCACGTTTCCCGGAAAACCAGAAGTTCAGGTCTTGGTGACCTTCCATACCAGTATTGTGAGTGGCTACTTCCGTATAAGTTACAAGGGCTCACCTTGGACCAGCTACTTGTCTGCATCTATTAGTGCTGCAGATCTCAAGTCGGCATTGGAAGCAATTCCTACTATTGGGGTTGCTTCTGTGAAATCAGAGACAATGTTACTAAGTGGGGCTTCATGGTCTAATGGAAGAGTCTGGACGATCACATTCGAGTCGAATGTAGGCAATATGGCACCTCTGACTGTCGATTCATCGAGAATCGCTCCTCTCAATGCATTTGTTGGAATCAAGGACGGTGACAATGCTGTCGACACGACTGGACTACCCTGTTTACCAGACAATACACCTGGTTGTCCCGGATCGTGGCCTGTAGGTGCGAAGAATCTGAAGCAGCAGAACGTTCCGACCAAAACAGTCGCCCAACTGGCTGTTCCCGGGGAAGTAGCTGTTGACTATGGATTTTACGAGATGCTAAATACTACTTCAACAGAGTATAAGATATCTAATCTCATACCGGGAGAAGCGTACGTCATGTCTGTCTCAGCCAGAAACTCGCAAGGTCTGAGTGCTCGCTCGGTGTCGTCTCCAGAGTTTGTGACACTACCACTCCAGGTGCCCGGTTTGCCTGCCAATGTTAGCGTGGACGTAATTTTGGGTTCTTCCACCCAATTAAACGCGAAATGGGTCGCTCCTGTCAGCGACGGCGGGAGCCCCATCAAGATGTATAGAATTGAGTACGATGTGTCGTCACAATTTTTTGCTCGTGAGCATCAAGATGAATGGTGTCCGATATCGCCGACGCAAGCCATTTGGTTGGTTCAGACGGTGAGAACCAGTGCTTTGGCAACCGATCCAATCGCAAACGGATATTTTCGATTAGAGCTAACTCGAAAAAATATTATTGAAGTTTCGGATCCTATCGCTTGGAATGCCGTCGCGGCTGCAAAAGATGAAGCACAGTCTGTGACTTCTTCAACTTCCGGAGTATTCTGCACTGTGGGTATTCCTGCATGTACAGCGTCTCAGCGTGAAACGTCAGGATCTGTGCAGTCAAAACTTGGGTCAATGTTGCAGCTCTCTGGTGGTGTAGACGTCACCCGTAGTGCGATGACATCTAGCGGAGGCTTCACGTGGAGTCTAACGTTTCTTGACGCCGGAGACGATTTTTCGCTTGCAGCAAGGGATGTCAATCTTGCGTGTATAGGTATCGGTTGTACAGGAACGTACGACGTACTTTTGTCAAAGATTAGACCTGGCGTCATACCTCCACCTTGTATCGGGAATCACATGATACCAAAGACGGGGGCGCTAAATAAGGGCCAATTGTACTACGTGCGTGTTTCTGCGTACAACCAGGTTGGCTTTGGAGATCCTCAAATGGCTGCGACGCCTCAGAAACCCATGGTTGCCCCAGGTCCACCTATCAGCGTCACACTGGCAGTAGTTTCGGTCTCGGAACTAAAGGTACTGTTTAATCCACCTACTGACAATGGCGGAGATTCGATAAGTGGGTACGAAGTGCAATGGGCGACCGATACAGCGTTCACGTCCTCAAAATCCGTCTTCATGCAGATTACTAACATGACTATTCCATACAAACGAATCATCTCTTCCTTGACCAAAGGAACTCGGTACTATGTTCGTGTTCGAGCAAGCAACTCTCAAGGCTTAGGTCAGTTTCAAGTCTCTTCTCCAGCATCGCAGCAACCGTACACGACGCCAGGTTCACCAAGTCAAGTAATTCTCGGAATTACCAGTTCAACAATGTTGACAGTTGGATGGACACCACCCACGGATGATGGTGGGGATTCTATCTCGGGGTACATCATTCAATGGGACACAATCGCTACGTTTGATTCATTGTCAATAGAAAGCACCACGGCAGTGGTCAACGACGCGACTGAACGTGCTTATACAATCACGCTCTTAACGCCTGGTACACGCTACTTCGTTCGCGTCTGTGCAAAGAATCGCGGTGGTAAAGGAGCTCCGCAAATTTCGTCACCGACGTCAATGATTCCAGCGACAACGCGTCCCGGAAAGCCACACTCACTCGTTGTATCTGCTACTGCTACCACCGGTGAGCTTCAAGTCATATGGCAATTACCACGTGTTCCAGCACATGGAATTCCGTGTGCTGGAACGTTACAAGTTCCTGAAAATTGCCCTGTCTTTAATGGAATTGACATGGTGTATGGTGGTGTGAATCTGGAAAGTTTTTTAGTGCAGTATGCAGACTCGAATGACTTTTCGTTTGCTGCCGAGATGAGCGCCACGATAACGTCAGCACTTCTCACGAATTTGGAAAGCGGTAAACCCTATTTTGTTCGTGTGCTTGCTGTAAATAGTCAAGGTCTGAACAGCGAGTTTTGTATGCGAGGAAATGCGCAAGGTCTGCTTTGTCCAGATCACTTAGTATTGGAAGATGGTAGTATTGTTATGGGAAACTTTGTCTCTGCTCTACCGAAATAGAGACTTTATTGTAGGGTTATGGGTGATATTTTGGTAAATGATCTAATACATTTTCATGTAAAATTTCAATAATGCTTTCTATTTCAAATTGTAAGTTGGTAATCTTAAGTTGCCGAAAAAGTTTAACAATCGGTGCACTGTATATTTTGCCACACATGAGCTTATTTTTGGGTATTTCGGTTGGTCACGCTGGCGTCTGTCATGAGTACTAAGCCTACAAACTCAGCTACCGCATTCTTGAGGAATGTAGGCCATATACAGAAATCTTTAAGCCCGCCACGGTGACTTCGTAGTGAAACTGTTGAACAAAATAGGTAGCCCGATACGCTACCCCTGCGCAAAAGTGCGGCAAATGTCAGAAT